TGACACGACTNGCCGAGGAGTTGACGTCTGAAGAAAGGCGAAATAGCCTAAGGCGATGGCAGCTGAAGTGGGACAACTCCACCAAGGGGAGATGGACTCACCGCCTGATCCCTAAAGTGGATGTCTNACAGAATTGTGGAGACGCTGTTCCCAAATCAACCGGAATTTCGCCGCAACTCTGAACAATGGGAAGGAGAAATTGTCCCGGAGATCACCAGGGAAGAGTTGATGGAGGTCTGCAAAAGAGTGGGAAACTCCAAAGCTTCAGGGATGGACGGAATCCCGAACATCGCGTTGAAGCTCGCCATTAAAACGTTGCCAGAGCAGTTCCTGGATGTCTACAACGAGTGCCTCAGAGAGGGCATCTTCCTTGCCATGTGGAAGCAGCAGAGGTTGGTACTGCTCCCAAAAGGGAATAAACCACCGGACGAACCTTCATCTTACCGTCCCCTCTGCATGCTCGATACTGCTGGCAAGATTCTCGAGCGTATCATCCACCAGAGGATAGAAGCTGCCGTGGAACNAAGATCGCACCAGTCTATCGACTCAGTGCCCTTAGAGTCGCAAGTGCATATCGGACGGTTTCTGAGGACGCAGTGTGTGTCATCGCAGGAATGTTGCCGATCAAGATTTTGGCTGAGGAGCGGAAAGCTCTGTATGAGCGTAGAAGATCCGAAGTGCTGAGTGCCGAGGAGTTGACGTCTGAAGAAAGGCGAAATAGCCTAAGGCGATGGCAGCTGAAGTGGGACAACTCCACCAAGGGGAGATGGACTCACCGCCTGATCCCTAAAGTGGATGTCTGGCTAAATCGCGGACACGGGAAGGTGAACTACTGCCTGACGCAGATGCTTTTTGGGCACGGATGCTTTAGAGCGTATCTTCATAAATTCAAGCATGAAGATTCCTCGAAATGTCCAACCTGCCCAGAAGTGGATGATGATGCGGAGCATGTGTTCTTCGCACGCCCGCGTTTCAGTGAGACCAGGCATATCTGGGTGTCCACACTAAAAATGAAAGTACTGCCTGAAAATCTAACGGATGTATTACTATCATCNTTGCTGGGAATGAATATGGTTTTCGGAAAAGCCGGTCCACACTTGATGCCATCAACCTGGTCGTCGAAACCGCTAGGAAAGCGATTGAAGGGGAACGATGGTTGAATGGCACTANGTTGGAATGAGGAAGAGCAAATAGCTGAGACCTCCCTCGCGAAGTAATATCTAACGGTGGTGCCGCGAGGGAAAGAAAAGGTGAACGATTACTAGGGTCATGTTCGGTTTTTTAGTCCGTATGGGTTGCACATTCGCCGAGCAGATACTTGCTCGTGGTCGCTACTATCTACACCTGACCGACTCGGATACTACACTTCAGACACCACCCGTCTGGAGTGTGTTAGTGCGTAAAGAGCATTTTTCCGTTCATGAACCCCACAAAAAAAAAAACACACACACACACACACACACTCACACATACAGACATATTTTCAAAAACGTTTCAGGATGATTCGAGAGGCCGAGAAATGTGGAGAAATCATGGACATTCCACATTCGATTTCCGGGGTCATTACAATAACTTTTTCCCTTCGGGTCGGGAAGTTAATATGTCCATGATGGCATATTTGATGGTGATGCAAGTATTCACTAGTTTTGTCAACGTAAAAAGTGCGGGTACTTTAAATGTGATACCGATTTTGAATATAGCAGTAAGTGCTTTGAAGCCAAGTGGCTGGAGAACTATCCAAAAGCAGTTATATTTTCGAAATTATGATTCCGTCGCTATGTTCCCCACAGTATACGCCAATGAAGAATGTTTCGCGATAGCTTTCTCCGATCCTTGATTCTACAAAGGATGATATCATTTTGCCAACGCACTCATTTATTGACTCTATTTGCACTTACAATATTCAGAGTGGAAAATCCAATACTTTATACTCAAAACGAATATAACCCTTCAAGTACGGCGTCCATGCCACATATGGACTCGAAAGCTGATTCTAATGGCCAGGGTCCGTATGTCATATGGACCCTTTTCCTGATTAATTAAAATTTATTATGTTTCGTACTATTCGTGGCAAAACTATTGATGGAGCGATTTTGCTACTGATGAATGTGGATTTTCACTCTCCCAAAATCGATAGTTTTGTTTACTCACGTAGCCTTTAAGGTAGAAATGAGCTTCATCCGTGAAAATAATTCGATTGGCTTCGATTTCAGAATTATCAAACATTTGTGTCAAAACTTTGCTAAATTCAAGTCATTTCCCTATAACAGCTTCCGTAAGCAATTGGTGGGAAGTGATTTTATAAGGATGAAGTTTGAGGAAATGTTTAAGTATCAAACGTAGGGTCTCTCGGTTCAATTCTAACTTCCCAGCTGCCTTGCATATTGAATCAGTTGGATGATTTTTGAAATGTTTTCCCACCTTGTCCCCTACTTCTACCATCGTTACTGTATAAGGTGGACCCGGAAGATCATGGCGACGATCCTGTAGGGTACCATAGTTGACAAAATTATCAATTACCTTACAAAAAAGAACACATTGACTAAAAAAATTTATTGGGGACTAACCTAAAAAAAATCGTACAGGAGAACTAAAAATTTCCCACCGTTTGAGAGTGGTTTCACTCCCAATTCTGTGACTACCAAACTTACTACGAAAGCCTCTATACGCATTTGTGTAATTTTTTCCTTGGGAATAATAGCACTCAATGAGATACACTTTTTGTTTGACAGTAAGCTCACTCATTTTGGAGAATATGAACTAGACCCCGGAGCGTCCCACTCGAATTTGCCAGGTTCCAAGTTTTAACCTACAACAGCCCGATCCCGGGTGACAAAGTGGAGAAGGCAATATAGTGGAAAAGTTTTCACCTATTCCCATTTATCACCCTGTATAAACATTACGGAACTGAAGTCGATGTTCGATGCATATTTAAAATCCTCGTTTATTGAGATAATTTTTATCAACAATTCTTACCAATCATACTGTATGCATTCATTTGTTGGATGACGTCAACGAATTTTCGATTCAATGAATTACTAATTTGTGATTAACAAACTTCCGATAATTGTCGATCTTGGCAATCATTTGCACTATCGAACTGAGATTGGTCTTGAAAATCCCAGACAAGTCTGTACAAAGAAATAATGTAATTGAACAACCTTTTGGTAAAAACTCAAGATTATCATTACATTTTAGTTCATAATTTTCTGCTTATCAGTATAGAAGTTATCACGTATTGAACAACGATGTTCAGTTGCCAGGAGGCCGCCGGCCGATGAGAACACCGGGCAATAAGGGCGGAAATTTTTTCTCTCTAAATTCTAATTCTCTTAGAATTCTTTAATGCCTAAAGGAGGTTAGGCGGTGTATGGGGTGAATTTGAGAGTGAATTTCTGTGGTTCCCGGTAGCTTAGTCGGTAAGAGTGCCCGGCGCGTATCTGGGAGACCCGGGTTCGATTCCCGGCTGGGTGAATCGTACTTGAAGAGATAATATATCTAAACTAGGGGCTACTCACTCCATAATTGAGTGACCATGATTTTGAAATGAAGTCGATTTCGGGTGACTTCGGTGACTTCGTAAAAATTATTTCGAGCATCACCGGCGGTGATTTTATGATTTTGATGATTAATTCGAAATCAGGGATTTCAGAAAAAATGAGTCATTGAAATCAAATCAAATCACGATGAATAAAGTTAATAAATAACAGAGGTGGGTCAAAAGGGTTCGTATCAAATTATGAAAATAAAAACTGGTAAGAATAACGGGCAAATGATAACGAATTCATTTGATTCCACTCCACCAATCTTGAGCTGATAACGACGAAAAGTGGTGCATTTTATCCCAGTCGCCACTAATAATTCACAAATAACAATTAATTTCAGAACTTTATATTAGAAAACAAAAGTTACATAAATGATTTCACAAATAAATTGTTATTACATTAACTCATTTATTTATAAATGTTTTTCAACTTCATCAAACATTCTCTCAGGGAGCCTCAAATGTCCACTCCCGCTAATCAGAACAGAAGAAATTGTTCTTCGATACTCGCTTATATTAACCTAGCCCTGAGAACTCATTCGCTCCGACTTTCAAAATATCCCAATGAGTAGTTATATAAGGCGGCTTCTGAATAAACCGTGCCGATCTTTCGGATGGGTGCGCGTATGGGTTGGAGGATGTGGGGAAAGGGAGGAGAGGGAGGGAGAGGCGGGGATGGGAAGGGGAGCCCTCTCGGAGGGGTGTGAATTGTTCATTCTGAGAAGTGTTCATCATTTTCAATGTGAAATTTTCCCATTAAGGCTTCTGAGAATGAAATGAATGATGTTGTTGCACAGAAAGATTTATTTATCAGATTTCTCCCTCCCTCGAACATATAGTAAGAGGGAGGAGGGATGGAAGTGTATATAAGGCTGATTTTCGAGAGCGTCAATATTATTTGTCAGAATGGAGAACTCAGCAGCAGCCGGAATGATTCCATTGATTGGTACCCCTTATTACCAATGGACTCATGCTGACATTGTAGAGAGACATTTCGGAGACGATCCACCAGAATACGCTTTCGGAATTCTTGAGGATATTGTAGGTTTGGAAAAGCAGCTAGCAGTTGTGAGGAGGGATCAAGACGAGTTGCAGGAGAATTCTATGCTGACTTTACCAGCTCTTTTCGATCTGAAGTCGAGTGTTATTCAAAAAGCTATCGAAGCTCTGGTGACAAGACTTGAAGATGACTTCGAGACGGTGCAAAAATAATACTATGCAGTTAAGAGGATGAAGTTTGGAGAGGATGGGAAGCAGCAATCAATCGCATTAATGCTTGGATATTTGTATGAAATGAAATTGAATGCAAAATGGATGTTGGAGAGTTTCAAGGCTTATGAGTTTTGTAAGAAAGTTTCTAATGTAGAATAAAAACACATTTTTATTTGAAATTATGATTCTATTTATTCATTATCCTTATTAAAATTACATTTATTTTTACATATTCTTGTTATTTTCAAATCATTTTCTTCATTCCACCGCTGAGAGGTTTGTATTCGATGATGCGATCATGTATGATCAAGCAGTACGCTGTTGTAGTATCGGAGAAAGTTTGCGTTGATTCAAATTCCAGTCGAATATCTACAGGTCCAGATTTCAGGAACTCGTTTTGTTCGGAGCAATCGATGACAATAAGTGGCGCAGTCTTCAAGAATGTTTCTCTATTCAGCAATGGGTCAGGCTCTTTACCATAGTAAGAAGCTTGAAAGTCTGTGTACATGTTGTATAACAGTGCATACTGATTGTGTGCAATATCAAGGTTAAGGTTTCCATAGGGGTAACTCTGTGAATTGAGAAATAGTTTGACATCACGAATACTACAATGGTCAAAATTGCTGGCATTGCTGTACATATGATTTTTTCTGGAGCTTTGAAATCCAACGATCACGTAGCGAGGTTTTTCCAATTGTGTAGACCACTTTACTACCCAAAAGTGTTTCGAGGTCCGAGGTAACAGAGGATACTCGTACAATTCCCAAGCTCGGAAGCTGATGGGTGTAGGTGTATCCTTAGCAATATAATTTAGCAGTTGGACCTTCCGAGAATCTGCTACCTTGATATAGGATATCATCCATTCGAGCTTGGTGAGTGAAATTTTAAACGTCTCTGCTACTGCCCCTTGTGCTGGTTCGGCTTGTAAAACAGCATTGCTATCATTGTGTGAACGGGTGAGAATCAACTCATGCTTTGCGTTCATAATAATCCGTTGATAATCTTCAGCAAATCCTAGTATCATACTCAACGGAATGGAAATATTGAAATATCCTTCATTATCTGTCATTTTCTTATCTTCTTGCACGATCCAACCTGCATTCTCCAATAAAAATGTCTGACTCGGACTCTGAGAAATGTAATTCTTCATGAGTGTTGTCACGCCAACATTTTTACATCGGTCAACTTCTACAGCGTTCAACTCATAGCGAATTTCTTCGAATAAGTGGCAAATACCATTGTTGACAAATTTCGTGGCTGTGGTAACAGTCGTACCATCAGCCTTTGTCAATCTTCCGCAGATGTCCAGTGAGATCTTACATGGAAGCACATACAAATCTTGATGTTGCACAGCAATGCGAATTTCATCATTGTTGTTGAGAGTCGATGAAGCAAATGGTTGATGAGCGTGAATCTCATAATGGGCAATCGACTCATCAAAAATGATGGGTTTCTAAATTTTCAGAATTTCTTCCATGGTAAATAGCAGCAGCCGATAAGGAAACAGCAACAATACTTTACTTTCTTGCCTTTCCACGGAGTTTCAGACCCAGACTCTTGAGATACTTGACGTTCTGAGGTGTAAGTCCCTTGAGAGCTGACCGTTGACTGTGAGACTTCTGGCATGGTACGAGACTTTTATAACTGCTACCAACTTTACTCTGATTGAAAACAATACTCATTCTTCTTCTTCTTCCTCTCCTTATTCAATTCGCTTTAATATGCAGTCTTATAGTAATAATTTCTCCACGGAAATTAACTAAACGTCCCTCTTGATCGACAATTTTCAGTTGCAATTGATGTATTGACTGCACAACGACCGGTAGGTAAATGACTTGAGCAGGCACTTCGATGATCTTATATCCTGAAGGAACACTTGGGAAGAACTCATGTATAGTGTGTGCTCGTTCATTGTTGACGTAGGCTCCTGGAGTGATATTACATTCAATGCGTAGCGAATTGATATGGATAATGGATGCTGGCATATCAGACTTGTATGACTCCAAACTAGAGAGAATATTGGGTTTGAATCCTAATAATTGTCCAATCGAATCAGGTGGAACAAAGTTTATCCAAATGTCGCATGGAATTTTTATTTCCGTAGTAAGAGATCATTAGATTTGAGACTGAATCCTTGGACTTTTTCATCCTTAAGAGCTTTTTGCAGATGCTTTTCAATATCTTCAATTTCATAGTTCCCAGTTGGTAATGTGAGAACAGTTTCTCCATCTTCATTATATCTCTCACCGATGTTGGGAATCGCATTATCCCTCATAGTGTCAGCCTTTTTTACATAGTAAAATTTATTATATCCCTCGTCAATGTTGGGAATCGAATTGTAAGTTAAAAACGCTACAAGCCCCACACTATAGGTTTTTAACGGTGATAACTCAATCGGTGGAAAATAGTGGGCATCCAGTATAGATGTCGTACTTGTTAAAGTTAATGTAAATGAATCAGCCATGATGGTCAACACTACACTGATGTAACACTAAGAATGGTTACACATTTTATACCAATTTTTCAGCGAGCTATTTCAAACACAAATGACCACAAATAACTGTATCATAGTCCTGATGATTTTCATAATTATATTTCACTATACTACCAGCACCGAGATAATCTACTAAATCTTGAGGTGGACGTAGGTTGCCGGAGCTATCGAAATAAAGAACTTTTGTATTCTTCTTCCGGTATGCAACCCAATGAGTGCCAGGTCCATCGCTACTATCAAGATTCACCATAGCCGATTCATCCTTCCTTAGTCCACTCTTCGGCATATCGTTTCTCATATAGACACCGCGGAAATGAGGGATTTTCATAACTTTTGCGAACTTCCTGATGTCGGTATCAATGAGAGCTCGGTCTGGTAGTTTTAGAAGTTTTTTGGATTCAAATGGAGTCCCAAGCCTTGCTTGTAGGGTTGCAAATATAAACCCTCGCCTAGAGCAATGCGTTCCATGCTACGATTGTGACGCTTACTCTCTTCGAGAGCTTCCTTCGCAGCCTTAGAATCATTGATAGCTTTTGATATACCTGAAACACCTCCAGCTATTGCACCTGTAGCGCTCAATCCAGCGAAAAGAGGGATCAGAAATGCTGGTAACAGTCCACCAGTTTTCGAGGAAATCGGGAGAATGCGCGTAATATGTTGAATTTTCTTTTTTCCTCCAGCATGTCTGACAGCCTCACGTGCACCTTTCAATGCTGTTTTCACAGCGTCAACTCCCGGGAGCATGGAGGCTTTCGAGGCATCCACAATCTGGCGCAATGAGATCTTTTTCTTCTTGCTGTTCTTCTTGCTGCCTCCTCCAGTTTTTTTCTTATGGATTCGTCCAATTCGTTTCTTTTTATATCCTTTCCCTGTCTTCTTCTTGATCTTCCTTTTATGAGATTTTTTCTTAATATTTGCACCCATACCACATTTTTGTTTGGCTTTCATAATATTCGCCACACCCTAAGCTGCTGCTTTTTCAGGAAGACTAGCGTCCTTTGCCAAGACGCGACCCCAAGCTTTCTCTGTTAGAATACTATCAGCTTCGTGTCTAGCAGGCAGATTATCTTTGCTTTGGGAGTAGGCAATATCGTGTTCTTTACAAGCTGAGTCGAGAGGATTTACTCCACGATCACCACGAGCGATACGTTTAGCTAATTTTGTTCCTGGACCACAGTACTGGTAACTGGGGATATGCAATTCTGTGGGTAGATTATTTATCATACTGTTCACAAAACCGTTCCCGCTCTGCTCTCTCTTACGTTTACACCCAACCATGGTCGAGTGATAACTGAATGAAACTATATAAATACCACATATTTATAGTTGCACCATCAGTCGTTAGAATGAAATTCACGAAGCAAGGTGTGAAACTGCCTGTTATCAATTTTGATCAAATCATACAACAAAAGAAGCGTGGGAGGAAAAGACGACATGGTCCTCTCTTACCCAATAGTGTGCGCGCAGTTATATGTGGACCATCTAATTGTGGTAAAACGAATGCTCTATTCGCATTGATCACACATCCAAATGGATTGCGATTTGAGAATATATACGTTGATTCGGAATCGCTCATTCAACCAAAATATCAGTTTTTGAAACAACTATTAGAATCTGTGGAAGTTATTGGATATTTTCCATTCAACGATCATGAAGAAGTTGTCAAACCTGCAGATGCTCGACCAAATTCCATTATAATTTTCGATGATGTTGCTTGTGAAAAACAAGATAATATGCGAGCATTTTTTGTATGGGGCGACATCAAAATGTAGATTGTTTCTATCTTTGTCAGACTTATGCTCGAATATCAAAACATCTGGTGCGTGACAATACACATTTTCTCATTCTATTTCGTCAAGATGAGATGAATTTGAAGCATATCTATGATGATCATGTGAATACTGATATGCCATACACACAATTGAGAAATTTGTGCTCAACTTGTTGGAATACTGACAAATATGGATTCATTACGATTGATAAGGATAGTGAGTTGAATGAAGGGCGATATCGAAGGGGATTTGATTGCTTTATAAATAGGGAATGATAATTGAAATAGGGACCAGTGTGCATCTGAATGCGTACCTATCAACATGCATCAGAAGGAATTAAGGAAAGAGTCCGACGTTTTGCATCATATTGCTTTGGCAAGTGAAGCAATTCGTCGTAAACATAAAATGATGAAACTGGGTAGAGATGCTGCTGAACATGCTATTAATGAAGTATTGAAACCAGTGATTACTCAATATTACTACAATCTGAAACCCTGAGAAAGAAGAGAACAAAATCGAGTAGAATGACGAGGCCTTTCAGTCTAAAGATGAATAGGGAAAACACCGAAGGAAGCGATGATGATGATGATGATGATGATGAGTTTGGGACAGCCGTAAATCATGAAGATTATCTGCATACAGTTTCCACAAGCACTCCCAAGCAACGTGACCCCTCACCATCACGATCTTCGATGAATCATTCTATCGAATCATCGTTTGGAGATGATCAATCTCAACATCATGTTTCACAAGTTGATTCACTAGATGAGACACTTTCTGATGGTTACAATATATCTGATATTGGACCTCTAGCACAAGTCTACCTCAAAAAATTTGGAAGACCTGAAGAAAATGATCTGGATACTGAATTTGGCATTCATTAATTAAAGAAGGAGACGAAGATAGGAAATTCCGAAGTGACTTTCCATGGAAATACAATGCTTCTGAAGAATAAAGAATATGAGTTGACACCAGGCCTAGCAACATTGATATTCGAGAAGTCGCCTAAAACAATGCATGTCACTCCAACTGATAGAGAAAATTATTGTCAAATTATACTAAGCACAAATGCGCATCGATCTTTCTATTTACCTGACAAGCCTATAAAAAAAAACCCAAACATTTGAAATATATGAACATTATCACACCGTTACTCACATCAGCATCACCACGGAAAGTTGGTACAGCTCTTCTACCTCAATATATGCTTGCTCCGAGGAAATTGAGTAAAAAAATGGATTATGTTTACTGGGATGATCCAAATGAATTAGTGGATAGATTACGTTTACTAATGGCCTCTCAAGCTGCTGGTAATACTAGTCATACCAACGAAATTTTTTCAATCATTGAAGAGTTACGTGAGGCAAAAATCGTATATTAGTCTCTGCGCATTGAAGACATCATCAGTTGAAACATGAGCGTTGATGTGTTCGGACGACAATTTGGCAGCAGCCGCAGCAAAAATGTTGCTGTTGGGAGACGAGGTCCTCCAGGTGAAGGTTTCAAACGCACCGATGATGGACACTATGATATAGATAGCAAGAGACTATGCAATTTAGCTGATGCAGAGCACGAATTAGATGCTATTTCTATGAAAGTTTTGAAAAAATATATCAAGGAAGACATCAAATCCATAAGCACCGATATCATCTCCTTCAGAGAGACTGTAGAGATTCCTCTTAATAATCTACAATCTCAAGTCTCAGCGCTTATTGTTCAAAAAGAGGCAGCGAAGTTGAAAAGAAAAGAGAGGAAGAAGACAACCACATCAAAGGAAGAACAACCAGATGGATCCAAAGAAAGTGAGAATAGTGGAGCAACTTCATAAACCAGCTCGAAGGAATTACCCCCGCCGTCATATTGATATTCGTGGTTTGGATGAAACGTGGCAAGCTGATCTTGTAGAGATGGGAGCTTACGCTGATACTAATAAAGGTTATAAATATCTCCTAACGGTCATAGATATTCCGTCCATATTAGACACAATTTTTATAATCATGATAATAATGAAATATCAGGACTGTGTGAATGGAATTTTCAACGTATCATCAATTCTAAGAATTTCCAATCATGAAATTGTGCATGAGGGTGAGAACACCCTATTGTTTTGCTTCACATAAACATCAGTGGGTGTCATGATAAGTTTCACGAATTATCTCAAACAAGGGTTTAAGATAAGATGAAAGTCGAGCCGTTCCAATGCTTAGGGGTGGGTCGGAGAGTTGACATTATTTTTCGTGATAACACCCCTTAATTTCAGATGAAAGTGTTATAATGCTGATTAAATTCCTTTAGTTGACATTTCTAAGAATATTCGATGATTATACGTTGACATAGACTAAACATCCTATGAATGCACTCTTATTTCGTGACTTTCACAAGGTTGAAGCTTTGATAAAGTGTAAACATTCGCACA